AGATTAATGTTGAAATGAAGAATATATTTCAGTCTAATGTTAGTGCAAAATATCATTAGGCCTTTGTAATCACCGCACGACACGCGACTAACATGGCAACTAACACGCGCGTGGGTAAATCGTCACGTACGGTTTATGGTCTGGTTGCTATGGTTTTTGTGACGTTCAGCGTGTAGGGACGCACGTGCGCCTAGAATGTCGATGCCAGAGTTATAACCTTTGATGTCCCGAGATGTGCGTCCTTTTGTTGAATTACCTTGGTATTATAGTTTGCACTCAAATAAACACATCCGCTCAAATTAGCTTTCGCTTGATGAGTCGAAAAAGTAGTATCCGCTCGTACGTACTGAAAAAAGGTAATTTTAATATCAATTTACTATAGGGACTACTACTGTAGACTGTAGTAGTACTAAATTGATTGGTGTACTGCTAGAGGAAATAGGCCTAGCCATAAGGGCATAGGGCCTAGTAGCACCGGCCTAGGCCTAAACTTCCCTAGCCTAGCCCAGGCCTAGACTAGGCCCTAGGCCTAGAGGCCTACTTCATCATATCTTTTATTACCAATATAGAATAATATTTTATCATAATTTTCACTTACACTTTCGGAATTTGTTTGAGAGACAATTTCAACTTGAATATTATTACTTTTCTCCGTTAAAACAGTCGCCATTTCCTGCTTAAATCAAGCAATCTTCGGTGGGTCTAGCCTAGGCGTACACTTCTTTTCGTTCATGGGACATTTAATTTTAAAAATACACCGCCAGAGCTGACCCTTGGAATTAGGATACATATTGTCCAATCAGAAAACAGTAAAGGCAACGACGACTGTTTATTGTTCCAACATCTCTTTGGTTGTATGCACACCACACAGTGAAATCCACCATACGATGTTTGAACTTTAGCCCTTAGCACATTTGTTTATTTTTATTTCGTATTATGGAAGATGAGTGACGATCAAGAAATATTCTATGTGTGTAGTTGTTACTACACACATAACATATTTTTATCACAGTTCAGTCTCCACGTAACATATATTGATGATGAGACATTCAGCAAAAACTGGAGACAGGTAAGCCTAGCATGTATGATGTAGTAGGAAGGTAGGCCTGCACTCTCTAGCTCTCTAGGCTACTTTTTGCCATCAGCACAACTCCAGAACGGTACACGGAAGCTACAACTCGTGCAGACGGTTGTGTGAGCTTTGCATACACGTGGGCCTAAGCCTAGACCTAAAGCAAACTACTGTAATTATAATACTTGTTTCCACGATCCGTTTTGATTTGCTTCCTTTTCTTCTACTATCTATAGATTCTTAAAAATAAAGGATGTACTTCTGATGAAGCATATACAGATGTGCTAAAACAGGTAAGCTGGTTTACTATTACAGAGTACAGTTGGTAATGAGGCTGACACAGTAGTACTGTATATGTATAAACGTAATAATAATAATAATAATAATAATAATAATAATACTTTAATAATAGTTGAATTTAGGCATAATAATAATAATACTTTAATAATAGTTGAATTTAGGCTAGATGGCATAATAATAAATTAACAGGATGGTTTTAGAAAGTATGTACGATTTTGGCATTTTGTATCTTTGATATATGGAGTTAAGAAAGTTGCTTACGACCTATTGAAGTTTTTCTTAGTTATAAATCAAAATGAGAAAGAAAATCCTCACCAAATGGTAGGCCTACCCTTCCTATATTTCATTACATACAGGATATTCACTGCTTATGGCCCATAATATACAAATGACCAATAGATAGTATTATGCTTTCTTCAAAAATGATGTGAAAGTTTGTGTACCAAGCAAAGCTTTCTATGTAAAACACAAAGAGAGTAGTGATAAAGTGAATCAGTAGATTCTTGGGTATATTCCCACCCTGAGTATTAGCCCATGCACCCTCAACTTTGTCAAATTTTCATAAAAATTGCTCCAACAACTTATTTTGTCATCCAATTAATGCATACCCAAGTATTCATTATTTTTTTTCCTTCAAGGTTAAGACAGAAGTGGAACGTAGAAAATCACTTGGCCATAAATATTTGGAAAGGCGGCAGAAAATTTCAGAAGGCTACACACCTCTTCACCCTAACATTTACAAGTTACAGGTAAAAAAAAGGGACTTTATTAACTTTTTTTTTATTCTGATGAATTAAAGTCAGGCTTCACAGGAAAAATAGATCATATGTATAAAATATAAATATTTTTCCCTCTGGAGCTTGGCTTTAATAATTTTGCATTATTTTTATCAATAAATTCATTAATGAGCCAAACCTGTCTATAGTATTATAATGCACAGGAGGTAAAGCAAAATTAGCACTTTCGAGACTAGTTGAAATATATTTATTCAAAAACTCTGTGTATTTCTTAAAAAAAGAGGTTAAGTATCTTCTATGTTTTTTCAATATTAATCTTGCATTAAGTGATAATAATAGTTTAAGAAACAAATGAAATTGTAAATGTTATAAAAAGAGCAAATCCTAGCATGGGTTGAACACTAATCCCTGGGATTTCAAGGTAAAACCCCCCTCCCCCTCCCACCCCCACCCATTTTTGTCCACAGCTCCAAGTGCACCATGATCTGGCACCTTTTTAAAACCCACACTTCTTTTTTTTCAATAGACATCTTATCTGAGCCCTAAGTTTCTGGAGCTAGTTGAGGTTAGCAAGCAGGACAGTACATCCAAGGAAAACTTACTAAAAAGAATCAATATTGAAAAAGGTTGGAAAACTGATAGATCCTAATCCTATAAACATATGTATAAACGTTTCTAGCATTTCTAGCTGTATTTATTGTGTAATGGAGTGTATCTGGTGGTATTTGAATCTGTTCAACCATGAAGCCTCCGTGGTCTAATGGTTATGATGCCCGCCTTGAGAGCGAGAGGTCGCAGGTTTGAGTCCCGCCAGAGGCATTTCATTACACAATTTCTTTATTCATTTATTTACAGGACTACATTCTTTGAGAGCTATGCTACACGATGTATTATTATGTCCTTTATTCTAACACTGTATTTACCTTCCTTTGATGATTATATCTAGATGTGTATAAGAGACAGATATATATATATATAATTACTATTGTTCTATAAAAAAAATATGCCAATTGCGATTTTGTTCTTGTTTAGGAGAGCGTATTTACTCTTTTCCAATGTTTACTGAGGAATTTTGTCACTTATTTAAAGAAGAAATTGAACATTTTGAGGGCACAGATTTGCCAAAAGGAAGGCCTAATACAATGAACAATTATGGTGTAAGTTTGAACAATTACTGCAATTATTGCATATATAAGTATGAACAAAATTGAATATTATAATACATGTACTGTATTAATAAAAATTAACTACATACAGTATCTGTTATTATTCTCATACAGATTTCTTTCCTTTTTCCCCAGGTTTTGATGAATGAATTGGGATTTGATAAAGATTTCATCACACCTCTACGTCTGAGTTACATCACGCCAATAACTAGACTGTTGTATCCAGATTGGGGTGGAGACTCGCTAGACTCTCACAAAGCATTTGTTGTGAAGTACAAGATAGGGGAAGATTTGTCCCTGAACTATCATTATGATAATGCTGAGGTCACAGTTAACTTATCACTGGAAAGTGATTTTTCTGAAGGGTCGTTGTATTTTGGAGGCATGCGTCATGTAAGTTTACCGTCTTCATGTGCCTTAGACTCCCCTTTAATTGAACACTCTACTCCTTTTATCCACTCCCCATTCATCCACACACCAGCATGATGCTGCTGTGATACACAAAACTTCACTCCTCCCTTTCCACTTCTATCCACACCATTGAATTCCCTCCACATTCATCAACTATATCCCCTCTTGGCCCTTCATCGACCCCAACACCTTCATCCACCTCTTCTTCCAATTGAGTGCAATCTGCATATGTGAAGACTATAGTACATTGGTGGAATGTGATGCGAGTGAGAATAGTTTTACCAAGGAGCCAGTGCTTTGACAGTAGATTGTGAATATTACATTCTCTGGATGTTTGTGAGGAAAGAAAGACATCCTGTGATAGTCCCTACTCTCATTCCTTTACCCCTTTCTGTTTCTCCACCCTACCCCCTCACCCTTCTTTACCATTTTTATTATATTTATTATTGCACAATATTATTTTATTGTTTAAAGGCTTGCAGGTTTGCGAAAATGATAATGAATTGCACTACACCACATTATCTGTGTGGTTTACTGCAAGCATTTATGACATAAATCTCTTTATCTATTTCCATAGTTGCGCCTGGAAGAAACTGAATGCACCGAGTATTGCCACAAACCAACACATGGCTTGATTCATCGTGGTCAACATATGCATGGTGCTCTTCCAATTTCACATGGTGAACGATATAACCTGATCATCTGGATGCGGTCCTCGAGGGTGAGGAATAAATTGTGCCCCATGTGTGATCGAAAACCTCAGCTTATAAAGACAGTTGGTTTTGGAGATGGATTCACAAAAACGGAAAAACAAACAGTGGATGTTTGTTGCGCCTTATGATCTATAATGTCAGATTACGTTGATTGTCATAAATACCGAGGCGGATCTACAAAAAATTATCTAAAATCACCTAGCATATATGCATGGTGTATTTTTTAAGTATGATGCCAAACCCAAATATGGACAATATAATAAATGGCGATTGTAAGTCTGATTCTTCTTCTGATATTTTTAATTTGATTTGCAGTAAGCCTGAATCAACATTTTCGTTATCTCACATCAATATTCGACCTCTAAGTAAAAATGTTGAGGAATTTAAAATATTTTATGAATCATTAGCTCAGAGTAACTTAAAAATTATAGCACTTTCTGAAGTTTTGCAAGTTTTAAATAAAGATTTATACCAGTTAAATAACTATTCATTAGAAAGAGGTGGAAGAGTCAGTGCTTATATACATGAATCATTAAACCATAAGGTTATCAATTATAATATGTCATTCTGATTGTGATAATTAATTGCTTTAATTACTTTGTTTTAATTGGAAAGAATCTTGAAAGAGAGATCAATGATAGACCTATTGACAACCACATGGCATTCCTAATATGTATCCAAATTGCTTATTTCTTTATGGTACAACTGAAGAAGAAGTATACAGATATTTTAATAGGATTAGATAAAAATAAAGCAGTTGGTGTGGACCAAATTAATAATCCTAGCTGCAAATTACATTTCTATACCACTTACATATATAGTTACTGTAATTTATCATTTTCCAGATGCACTAAAAAGGACAAAGGTTATTCCCATTTTCAAAAAAGGATCACCATCTAACAGAGGAAATTATAGGTCAGTCTCCATCTTACCTCATTTAGTAAAGTCTTTAAAGATAGTCAACAAGGAACTTACGTAGTACTTAAACCGATTCGATTTATCCTCATAGCACAAAACTTGCTATTACATTCTTAACGCAGAAATTGTTGGAGAAAATAATTATGACAATGTAGTTTTTGGAATATTTTTAGATTTTAAAAATGCATTCGATACAGTGAACCATGACACTTTTAATAATACAAATTACGGGGATACGGGGATAACCTTTGTTTTATTCAAAGATTATTTAAATAATTAATAGAAAACAGTTTGTTAGTATAAATGGGAATGAATCAAATGAACTCCCACTAACGCGTAGTGTACCACAAGGGTCTGTGTTAGGCCCACGCTGTTTCTTATATATGTAAATGATTGCAATTGCTACTAATTACTTTGACACTCGCCTTTTTTGCAGATGATACCAGCTTATTCAATACCTTATATTCATATGATAATATTCACTTACATTATGTAAATGACCAATTGAAACACATTGTAGACTGGTGTGATTTAAATAAATTAACAATAAATACAAATAAAGCTAAGTATATTATTTTTCGTGGTAAACACGTAGACTTGGTCCAATCAAATGGTGCAATTTGTATAAAAGTAGCACAAGTTGATAGCAGAATCTACAGTTACACATTAAGATAACTCTTGAAAAAAATCTTGCATGGAAAGAGCACATTAATAAGGTAAATAAAAGTATTAGATCTAAGGCAGGCCTGCTTTATAAATTAAAGAAAATTATTCCTTCATCAATTTTGTTACTGTTATATAATTGTTTTGTTTATTTTCAAGTATATTTCATATGCACTTGAGGTCTGGGGAAGTACATATATGACACACTTAAGACCAATACATCTTATTCAAAAAAGAACTGTACGAACTATAGCACATTCAGGCAGATTACCACACACAGCATCACTATTTACAGAATTGGCAATCCTTAACATTTATAAACAACATGAATTTCAATTACTTTTATTTGTTTATGACAGCATTAACACAGATTTCCAAGTTCAACAACTTCTCAATATTTTTCGTCATCACATGACAAGGTCTCAAACAAAGGGGAATCTGACTATTCCAAAATATAAAAGTAATGTGGGACAATTCTCTATTTGGTGCACAGAATCTTGACTGGGACTTCAAGACTACTAACATTTTTCATAAATTCGAAGCCCATGCAGCGTCTCATATAGGCTGTAGGGTTATCTATACATCCATCCAAGTTATTACATGTGGGTAGGATTGAATCATTAAATTATGTTATTGAAATTGGATAGATACATTAATCTGGTTAATTAATATTGGATAGACTTTATTAATCTGTGAGGTTGATTAAATTGACATATTCATCTGGGATAAAAGATTTGATGGGAGCAAACATGAAGATATTGGGATTAACAAACTGTCAGTTTAAGCATGGAGGTATACCTCCATGGTTTAAGGTACACTTAGGCTGAAGCTGTATAAGGAACTGTTAGATCGACTGCATGCATCTGGTCAACCAATTCTTGGTGGTAGGGGTTGAGGATGAGTTCTACACGCTCCTTCCATGCGGCTATCATTGGAAAGTCTTTCAGAATATCCTTGCAAGATGGACAATCAAGTAGTTGTATAATCTGAAATATAATTGTATACAGTATCAGCATTTTATAAAACCCTTGTCAACCAACATATACGACTTTTCGGCTTTTGTTAGTAATAGACCATTCGAATATCAGGACAGACCTACGATTTTCCCAATTACTGTACTATGGCTCATCAACAGTGCATACGTTTTAGCTGCATTTGCTCTATCTACTATAATTATGATTACATTTCAGGCTTGCTCTCCCAATACCAGCTTACTCTCGCTAAATGTCAAATTGAGTACTGTAAGCTTAAGAAATGTCGTAGTATTGTACACTTTAGTTCAGAGAAGCCATAATACTTTTACTCATAACTTTGCAATAGTAAGGTGTCGGGGAGAATAAAAAAAGATATGTATTATTTTCATATTATAGAGACTCTAAAATCGATTAAATAAGTCTTTGAAACCCCGAAATTGTCCTGAATTCCGGGCTATGCCCCCTGGATCACTTCAGAGAGATTTTGAGCGACGCCCGACCACACCCCATTATGGACTTGTCGGGGAGTCCCCTCCATCGAGGACATGGGACCCCTCCCCGGCAGGCACATCTACGGTGCCACCCCTGCTTCTCATTATTGACATCATCATGATTATCAATATCAACACCACATATGTTATATCACCACACACCATCCTTATCGACGTCCATCATCACCATGAACAGTATCTCAGCTTTTTTTTTACTTCTCTTATCATTGGCCGTCGCCCCTTCTTGATTTCCATTTTCTTCCAAGAATTATATCATTCCATTGAAAACATGCTAACTGAAATGTTTTCATACCTCACACAGTGCCATAATATCGGCCACAGAAATTTCTTCACTGCAAACAAACTTCTGATCTTTCAGGAAAATGACTTCGAACTTCTTGAAACTCGTTTTGAGCTCACCAATCTTTCGTTTTAATTCTTCTGGGTCACAAGGCTTTCCAAGCAATATTTCTGAATAAACCTGTTAAACACAATGGTAAGATATTTTAGAAGTCGATATTTGAGAGTTTTACTGTAACATATTGTGTGTGTGACAATCCAAAAATGTCAATTTAGCAGGCATCTTATTCAAATTAGAACATCGTTTTATCTTGGAAAATAAAATACGGTATTTATTCGAATAAACACGAATAAACGCCTCCTCTAAAACCCCCTTTCAATGACGATGGATTTACACCATTATGTTAGGTTTTCGTTTCGGTCATTTTCCTACAGGCGAGGGCCATTTTCAAAGTACAGCTTTTTTTGCCCTGTCACTTAACTGTACCCCTCATAAATTAAATTTAGTATTTAAGTTGCAAGTGAATAAATAAAACGAACTGAAACAATGAACGCCCCGGAGTGTTTATTCGAATAAATACGTCTGTATATTCTTTGATTCGGATATGCGTGTCTGAGCGCTATTATATTATTTTATGTGCGATAGTGAATTAAGTTCTCTGAGCATTATAACAAACTAATGTGTCTATTTAATACGTACCTCTTCCATCATCACGTCAAGACAAGGTGCTCTAAGACCAGTGTGTTGCCAGGCCAGGTAGGCATCTACTCGTGCTCGGGCTTGGATGTCTGCTGGATACCAGTGGTCAGACGTCTTGTATTTTGCCACGAGATACCTCAATATTGCGACACTGTATCATAAACGTCAAGAAACACTTTTGTTAAGCCCATGATAAGGTTTTGAACGGTGACGAGTTCCATTTGAACACTATAGATTGTGTAAAATATTTCTTTTTGCTTAAATTTCGAATCGGAGTTTCCGGTTTGTAGGCTAGACCTAAATTAGTTTTATTCGACCTACTAAGAATATATTAAACGCACTGATTTCCATAAAATCGCTACAACGCTATTGCCGACAGCTGTTGGTGACTGATTGGTTCGTCGAATCAAGGAGTGCGTCGGTGACAGTAATGTATGGAAATCAGTTAACCCACCTTTCACCAAGACAGAAATCGCCGTCTTTGATCGCCGGAACAAGTTGAGCCGGATTAATAAATGTATATTCAGCACTTTTGTGCTCATCTAATAATAAAATAATATATATAATTGGCATCAGTGACAGACTTATGTAAATGCATCAGGAGCATATGGCCTACTTCAATAGATGCGTCTCCGAAAACTGTAATACTGTAGTACAAGTAACTCGTAGGCTACTATCCTCTTATTAGCAATGGAGAAACTAAGCTCATACTGTATGTGCATTAACCACATTTTGCAAAGTACCTAGTTAATATTTTTTTAATTTTTAATTTTTTTTTCATCTTCATAATTTATAACATAGCCTGTGACCTATAAGCCATGGATTTTGTTTGTGTCCCGCTCGTGGGGCACAGCCGCTATATTGGCGACACTACTGCAGGTTCATGAATAATTAAGTAGCAATAGACTGAGTAAGAGTAATTATTGTAAGAGTAAGTAATCGGTCATGTTTCAAGAGGTCATGTGTCATTTTAAGTACATTTCCTGATACGGTAACCGAATCTCCATGTTGATAATTGTTAGCAAATAGAGCCTATTTTTATATATACCCAGTGAATATTCATACACGGTTCACCCGTCTAGCAGAACGTAAGCATCCATATATTTGACAGCATATGCCCTAGTCAATAGTGAGTTGAGTCATGAAAGGAAAGTCTACTGTCTGAGTAGGATGGTTGCCTCTTTTGTTTTAGGGTTACGTGGCATTCACACAGCCTGACGTCGATGATACATTTTTTCTATTGATATACAGTAGGCCTAGGCCTAATTAGATTTTTAACTACCGTACTATAACGCAGTGATGAGACGTTTTCCTGCCATTCACAGATCGAGGCAAAATGACACAGAAGTCGGTCTGCGGGATCGTTAGAAACCTGGCTTAGTGTAAAATTCAGTGAGTGTGTATAACAATTATTAGGCAGGTCATACACTGCAGATACAAATCTTACATTTTTATTGTAGTTATTATTACCTTTCATCAGTTGAATCTCTTTCCCTGTGTATGTGATTCCATTCATTTTACAAAAAAGCAGAATTGCTCTGCATGGTTGGGATAAAATATCGTAGTAAACCGTTAGCGACATCGTGGCTATAGGTAGGCCTATCATGAAATGGGCACAACACTTGAATGTTTAAATTTTATTCGACTAGTGTACACGACCCCTCGAACCTTTGTAATGTTTATTTAGCAGCACGTTTTACGCTGTACTTTGGGTCAAACATTACGCAAATAGCCTGGGTCAGACGACACAAGTCAGCAGAAAATCATACACCCAAATTTGTCAAATTCACCAAAAATACGGTATTGTGTTAGTAGAGTCAGTTTTTACGCATACAACTGTCGGAGTTGCGTTTGTTTGAACCAAAATATGTAAAATACTAATCTCATCTCATCTATTATTTTCATACATTGTGCATTTTACCTCAGCCATCAGGGGTGGATTTAGGGGGAACCCGCCCCCCCCCTTTTTTTTTGGAAAGTAAAAAATTAAAAAAAATAAATAAATGAAAAAGAAAAAAGAAAAGAAAAAATGGATCGCCCAAAACGCCTCAGAGGTTATTTTCCAGCGTCTAGAAAACAACAATTTCGCGGGGACATGCCCCCGGACCGACTAGTGTTATCGCGATCGGCTCCCCTTTCGGGCATTTCTGGATCCTCCCCTGGCCATGGGAAGAAGTTTTAACTTAAAAGTACATTAACTACAGTACTCTCTGCCAGGAAGGTTAAGTATCAACCCTCCTCTGCCAGGGAGGTTTATATATATAACCACACTCCGCCTAGAATGTATCCACCGCCATGTGCAACTGCCTGTCCATTTTCTGCCCGTTTTGTTAGCATCAGTATGCAAATCCTAATAAATGGATCATCATAAAGTTTAGTGGATGGATGTGTCTAAAAGGTGTGAATATATTATTGTAGTAGGCCTACCTTTCATCAGTTGAATCTCTTTCCCTGGGTATGCCGATTTCATTCAATTTACAAAAGCCTTTGAAACCCCTAAATTGTCGAAATTTTCGGGGCTTTTCCCCCAGGACCATTTTCGTAACGTTTTAATCGAAGCTTGACCACGCCCACTTTGCTTTCGTCGGGGAAATCTGGCACCTCGTCGGAGGCACCCCCCCCCCCCCCCCGTCGGGAAAATCCTAGTGCCACCCCTGAACATAACCCTCGAACTTTTGTCACATTCAATAAAATGAACCGGAACTGAAGGATGTTATCCTGATGAATTGAGAAGTACAGCCATAAACTGTCTCACGAAGAAAAACCCTGGATTTGTTTGTAGACTATGTATGCAGCATTGATGAATAAAGGCGGTGACTTCACTACAGAAGACACGGAATCAATATTCTAAACATTTCTTTCGAAAGATAGACACGCTATAACCTTTATACTTGGTGGATATAGGCATACCTACATCTAACACGACTATGGCCACACTTTATTGCACAAAAAGTAAGACGGCATTTCTGAAATTTTCGATTTATTCAAACATAATAATATCTCTTTTATTCTCAGACTATACGCACTGAACAGACTCGCTAAAGTACTGTATGAACCACGACATTTCGAGAGACAGATCCACACGACGAACAAACATTTACACCCTGTATCAAAAAGTATTGAAGTCTTTAAACAATTATTAGCTTTTCACTATTACGGTATACTATTCAATCCACCTTTTCGACAAACATAGTAGTTATAAATTTACAATTACAATATAGCCCTAATTCGACATGGAAACAATGTGGAAAAAAAATCATTATTTAGGCTAATTGTTAATTTGGCCATGTAAAAGATGCTAATTAAAATGCACCTCTTCATCAAATACGGTACTGTCCTTAATTGAAGTGGTTCTCTCTGTTTTCGTAACCATACGCAGATACCTCTCAGCATGCGCGCATTGAAGGCTTCACACTGAGTAATGGACCTTTCTGGAGTGGCATTCAAGTTTTAAACTTGACCGAGCAGGGCTGGTCCTGCAAGTGCACTTATCGTCCTAAACGCTGTTGGTTCGTGTCATATAGGGCCTGTGGTGGGACATTAAAAAACAAGGGGCAGGGCTAGCGGAAAGGTCCATTTAGACGTCGATGTAGAGTTTTCTGTAGGCGTCTAAATTACTCAAATGTGAACCGAGTTTAAATAGGACTGAGCGGTATCATAGTAAATTCTTCTCTTTCTATCATCTCCTTAAGTCTCAACTATTAGTTAACAATGTTGTCCAGGTTGTCGACTGAGGCCTATCTATCAGAAAGCCACTGTTTACCTAAGAATTAGCGACAGCTTGCATCTGGTCAACCAATTCTTGATGGTAGGGGTTCAGGATGGATTCTACACGCTCTTTCCATGCGGCTATCTTTGGGAAGTCTTTCAGGAAGTCTTTGCAAGACGGACAAGTCAGCACTTGAACAATCTGAAATTTTTGAACATTTGATAATACCTTTTCACTTTGGTTGCATGTTTTTTTTTTGTCTGATGTATTTTTATTTATAAGGTATGCCCATCGGATAAACTATACAATTACAATATACAATGACAACTTTAACACTCAATCGGTTATTTAATAATATTTTGGCATTCCTCCTAGCTTGATTTCTCCTTATTTCACCGTACAAGTCAAAGGCCATTTCTGTGTACCTAACTTAACGCTTAGATATTTGTAATTTTTTCCATACCTCGCTCAATGCCATAATATCGGCCACTGATATTTGCTCACCGCAAACGAACTTCTGATCTTTAAGGAAGATGGTTTCGAACTTCTTGAAACTGGGTGTGAGTTTACCAATCTTTCGCTTTAATTCTTTTGGGTCACATGGCTTTCCCATCAATACTACTGCAAAAACCTGATGTGCAAAATAAAACAAGATGTCAGAGGTGATATCATATAAACACACATGGGTGTTGCACTAACCATCAGCTTAGAGGGACAGATCCGTTTGTCAAAGTCAAATGATGCCATAGAAGCTTGTCAGCACAATGGATTGGATTGGATTTATTCGGTGTAAACACCAAAGATAGCCCACGAAAGTCTAGAAAAAGACTTATTTCCAGTAGGGTCCTTCTGGTGGTGATTGGGCAGTACACCGGGAGACAATCCCCTACTATTTTCCGAAGAGTTTACTGCGTTCTTTAACGTGCACATGGCCCATAAATGCATACGGGACCAACGGCTTAACGTCTCATCCACTATTATAACTTGTATTTCAGCGCTCCAGCTGAAATACAAGAAGAGGCAGCGATGGGAATTGAACCGGGGACCTAGGGATCTCCACGGTTCAGCGCACACACAGATTAGCCGACTGCTCAACTCAGAAGGTCACATCCTCCTTATTATTAATGGAATAAAATAAAAATGTATGGATTTTAATTGAAATAAAGATAAAACTTACACCAAAAAGCCCTAACTATTTCTTTCAGTACCGGTACTTCTATATGT